TATTTCATAATTATATTTATTTAATCAACAATTTTAGTTTATCTATACGAAAATAAAAGACTTGTTTAACCTAAACGCGAATATATTGTTTACATTAAAATATGATAAAGAAAAACCTATTTAAAAAAAAAACGTCATTGATTATAAATATATTTATATTAATCATCAGTTAAACTATATCGAGTTATTTTAATTCGAATTATATTATAATTATTGGTTTTTTTTATTCAATCTTTATCTTTATTATTAATTTTAAATCTAATTATACACAACTACCATTTAATTTATTCGATTTGTTTCCTTCGGTTTTTTTTTGTTTTTTTTAATTTTCCTTAATATATTCTTTATTAACAGTTTTTTTTTTCTAATAGAAATTTATCCGAAATACAATACTAAAAATGTAACATATCAGTGAAATATATTCATATTATGTAGGAAAGAATTCAAACGATGAAAGATAATATCTTTATTGATATATATATATATATATAGATGATTAAATAAAATACTCACAATGATCATCAGTGTGTTTTGATATTTCTAAAGAATTTGATAAAGAATTATTTGAATGTCTTATTATATTTGATGTTGAAGATTTATCCTTAATAATATTATTATTATCTGTTTGATTTGTTTGATAAAATTGTGTTGGAAAATCATAACTTAAACAAGTTGGACTTGGTAAAAGTGGATTTTGTGAATCACTTAACTGAAATAATGGTAAATTTAATAATTCTTTTTCAAATAATTTAATATCTCCAAGAGTATTTACATTTTTATTTAATATTGGTAAACATTCCGATGATGATAATATTAAATCATTTTCAACAATTGATTTTAATAAAGGATTACGATCATTTAATTGATTTGATTGAATTAATTTATCAGAATTTCTCCAAAACCATTTACGTGTTGTTGTTGTTGTTGTTGTTGTTGCTGGTGTTGTTGTTGTTGCTGGTGTTGATAATGATGATGATGATTGATTTGAATTATTATTTGTTGTTATTAATGGTAAATCATTATTTATATTTAATGAATTATTTGATATTAATGTTGATGGTTGAGATAAACATATTTGACCATGTTTATTATTATTTATTTTTTGATAATATTTAATTGAACAATTTGTTTCATTTATTTTTGATTTATTAATAGATGAAAAATTTGTTTTCATTTATATATTATTATTATCATCATTTGTTATATTTGATAAATAATTTGTTTGAATTTTTTTTTTAAATAATGGTGTAAATATTTTATGTTGAAGTAAACGAAGAATAATAACAGGATGTATAACAGATGATAAATATGAAAGATTATAAAGAAGATTATCAGTTGAATTAATTATTGTTGATGATGATGTTAAACTTGTTGCAATTTGTAATGTATCTTCAGATTGTTTTGATAAAGATTTTTTTTGATTTATTTCATTCTATTTATTTATAAAAAAAAAGAAAATTAAAGATTTTAAAAACAAAAGAAAAAAAAGAAAAAAAAAGAAAACTTTTCAAATATACTTTAAGTAATTGATCAAGTAATTTTTCAATAGAAATTCCATCAAATGATGTCCATAATGTTCCAACAATTGTTTCACCAATAGCCATATGATAAACAAAATTATTTTCAAATGATTGAGGTTTATCAGAGTCAATAGTTTCAGGTTCAATATCTATGTTTAACAATAAAATAAATTTTATTCGACAATTATTTTCTCTAAAATTTTTTTTTCATTTTATCTTAATTTGATTTTTACTAAACATTTTTCAAATATCTATTAGAATTTTATTTTTAATTTTATTAAAATTTATTATTTTAACTAAAATAGAGAAATTTTATTGAAATATTAATCAATCACTAAACTATTAATAATAATAATAATATACATTATAATGACAATTAATTCATTGAAATAAATATAAGTAGGGAAAAAATAAAAAACTCGTTGTTACACGAATATTTATTATCTGAGAATAACATTTTATGAATTAGCTTTCTATAATGGTGTTTGTGCAAACAAACCATCTAATATAAAATTGTCTTTGAATTAAATATCTAACATATTTGAAATATATCTATGAAAATTTAGATAATTCTATTATTATAATCAAATGATAATTATTTTCTAGTTTTTGAGTATGACCGATTAGATCGGTATCGGATATAATCAATTAAAAATGTTTTCAAATATAATCAAATTTAATAAAAAGTTAATCAGTTAGATTTTTTAAATATAATAACAATATATAAATTTCGTTTATTCTCATTAAATTTATTCAACATAGAATTTATCGACGATTTATTAATCTATATCATTAATCAACAGTCAAATAATATCTATATTATATTGATAATAGAGCTGAACACAAGACAAAACAGGATAAACAGTAGGACAGGAGAAAAACATTTGTCCTATAACCATTTCTCTTTTTTATATATAGTAGCACTAATGAACTCAACAAAGAAAATTTCACTTTTTCACAGATAGGAAAAACAATGT